ATGGACGGTGACGGTGATGGTGGACGATGGTAGTGGTGGACGGTGGCGGTGGACGGTTGTGGTGGTGAAGAGAAGTAGAAAAAAAAGGAGAAGATGTTAGAAGACATTGGTTAATGTCTTCTCCAAGAAGATGCCAGGAAGACCTTTTTGAGTGATATGTCTTCCAAAAAACAAACAATCTGCAGAGTCCATCGTCTGCGCGCGTCTGTGCGGCGCAGACAAAAGACGCCAGAAGGTCTTCTGGCAGAAAAACAAACGCCCCATAGAAAGGCAACAAATAATCTAGTTCACACTAAGCACCAAAAGATGCAAAAATAGCCCTTGATCGATAGAAAATCTAATCAACTGGCCATATGTGGCAGTATTTTGGGTGAGAAAACATCCATTTCTTTCTTTTCCCTTTTTTATCCTCCAATTTTACTTCTGTTTATAGTATAGATATTGACATACTCCCCAACGAATGTTCATACCCATAACAAAGTACAAATAATGTTCTTTGAATATCCTAGAATTTTACATGATAGTTATAAAGTACTTAAATTACCCTTAACAAAAAAAATGTTAAACAACAATTCTTTGTTATTCCTCGGGCCAGACATTAAGTTAATAGGAGTTTAATTGATATATGATCTCAATGTGTTCTATAAAGATTGGGATGTATCCCTAATACTTGCAAGAAGCTTGTGCTTAACATAATTATCTTTTTTCGTAGTAAGCATGAATCCAACTTGAGTTAACGTAATTATCTTTTGTCTCTTATATATATAGAGATGTAATCCTTAGGAAAATCAATCAATCCACATATGTATTTCATATTAAAGAGTATCACTGTTTGGCTAAAAAAGTCAATACATGAAATTTTTTTAAAAAACAGATGAAATACTAAAAGACGATGCTTTTCAGATTAATAAACAAAGTGCCTTAATAAAATTGTTTGGAGTTTGGACTATAACCGAGATACAATAAAAATTGAATTTTTTATCGTAATCAGTATGAAACAAATTGAATTTTGAATGAAAAAACCAAAAAAAGAAGTTGGTATCTCAAAAACGAAACACAACATATTTGAAACACAAATAGGGCAAATGATCAAATTCAGTCGAGAATTAGTTTAAGAATTAATTTAAATAGAAAAAGATTGAAGATATATCTAGCCTACTTCAAGCTATGACCGAAGTAAGGCCCATATATTCCTGCAAAGTCCGTGCGTGAAATATAAATTGGAAATTCGCAATTAATGCATTTGGAATCCGGATCGCCACTAAGATGAAAAGTTGGCCGCCTCAATGAACCCTTTGGAATCATCCCTAAAGAAGGATTTAAGGCTAAACAGCGGGGTTAGATTATACACAAACGGCTGACGGCATAAATGCATCAGTATTCCAAAGCTTCTTAAAGGCCGTCGATTCATAGTGATAGTAGTCCATCAACGGTGAAGCACCCTTTTCTTCTTTTTTTTTCTTCCCCATTTCTTTTGCTTTTGTATATAGTATAGATTAATGTCCAAAGTTCGTCCAGTTTGACTCAGAAAAATCAAACTGGACGGACACATTGGGACGGAGAAAATACTTCTGATTTGGTGTGCTTATTGAGAAAATGAAATTGTGGTTATATTTTATTTAGAAGTAATAGCTCCCACTCCCATAGTCTCCACATAAACTTGACACATTAATGATGGTGTTTGATTTTATTTTCAATTTATTTTATTTAATTGTTGGCGTTAAAGGTATATTTTTAAAACAAAGTTTCGTACATAAGTATTTAAATATACTACGGAGTAACTATTACGGAGTATATCAAAACAACAAGAATAAGATGCCCTGAAACTAGTAATAACGAATGAGAAAATTTCATTTCTCTTTTTCCGAATCATTTCAAGTGTATAGATAGCCACTATGCATCGGCTTTACAATTTTAGGTACTTTAGTCTTTGGTACTAATTTACTCAAACAGGTTATTGTTTGACAATAACTTGTTTTAATTACTCTCTCCGTCCGGAAATAATCTTCCCAATTGATTTTTCTTGGTTAAAGTTTGTAAACATTGACTCCGATATGTGAAAAAAATACATTGTATTATGATATAAGTTTAATATTAATATATTTCTATTCAAACGTAGTTTTGAAATTTTATAAAATATATCTATATATAAACATAGATATTAATGGTCAAAGTGTAACATTGGATATCATGAAAAGTCAAACGGAGGGAGTAATAAGTTCTACACCACGGTCTTGCTAATAAGCTTCAACAAGGATTGTCTACTCATATTTTGTTAGCAAGATAATGTAAACAGTCACTATATGGCGTGGTACTTTCACGACAAGCAGTTCCACGCCCCAATTTAAATTGCCTGTTTCGGTTTATAATGTTTGACTGAAATTATTTTCAAATCATTTTATATGAAAAATGGTGTAGAATTAAAAAATAAAAATTACATATTCAAAAACTACGTCAAAAGATTTACAAAACTAACGGTGACAAGACTATTATTTTAGTAATCTTACAACAGTTGGGGGTACTCTATATTTTATCTATTACAAGGGCATCTCCAATAGATACCTATTTGTTTTAGATTTGGTGTAAACTTTCTC